TCTCTCCATTTATCATGATGCTGCTTATTGGTCCAGTTGTGAGGATTTTTATTTTCTTTATGTTGAGGTATAATCCATACTGCAGATTGTAGTCTTTAATCTTCATCAGTAAGTGCTTCAAGTCATCTTCACTTTGAGCAAGCAAGGTTGTGTCATTTACATATCACAGGTTGTTAATGAATCTTCCTTCAATCCTGATACTGCATTCTTCTTCATATAGTCCAGTTTCTTGTATTATTTGCTCAGCATACAGATTGAATAAGTACAGTGAAAGGATACAACCCTGATGCACTCCCTTCCTGATTTTAAACCAAGAAGTATCCCCTTGTTCTGTTTGAACGGCAGTCTCCTGATCTATGTACAGGTTCCTCCAATCAGTGTGCCAGGTAGCTGTGTTCCAAATTTTTTGGAATAGACGAGTAAGTACCACCAGTGCAGCGTCCATTTGTTGAAACATCTCAGTGGGTATCCCATCAGTTCCTGGGGTCTTGTTTGTCACTAATTCCTTCTGTGCATCTTTGACTACTTCCTTGAGTACCATCAATTCTTGCTCATATGCCATCTCCTGAAATGGAAGAACATCTACCAATTCTTTTTGGTACAGTGACTCTGTGTATTTCTTCCATCTTCTTTTGATGTTTCTTACATTATTCAATATTTTGCCCATAGGTTCTTTAAATGTTGCATCTCAAGGCTTGAATTTTTTCTTTAGTTCTTTCAGCTTGAGAAATGCTGAGCATGTTTTTCCCTTTTGGTTATCTAACTCCATGTTTTTGCACATTTCATTATAATAATTGACTTTATCTTCTGGAGCTGCTCTTTGAAATCTTCTGTTCAGCTCTTTTATTTTGTCATTTCTTCCATTTGCTTTAGCTGTTCTCTTTTCAAGAGCAAGTTTCAGAGTCTCTTCTGACATCCATTTTTGTCTTTTCTTCCCTTCCTGTCTTTTTAATGACCTCTTGCTTTCTTCATAGATGATGTTCTTTATGTCATCCCACAGTTCATCTGGTTTTTGGTCATAGGTGTTCAATTTATCAAATCTATTCTTTGAATGGTCTCTAAATTCAGAAGAGATGTGATCAAGGTCATATTTTGGCTCTCGTGGACCTGTTTTAATTGTCTTCAACTTCAGCTGGAACTTGCATATGAGCAGTTGATGGTCTGTTGCACTGTCTCCTCTTGGTCTTATTTTGGCTTAGATGTTGAGCTTCTCCATCGCCTCTTTGCACAGATGTAGTTGATCTGATTCCTGTGTATCTGGCAAAGTCCATGTGTATAGCTTCCATTTATGTTCTTGTAAAAAGGCATTTGCAATGAATAAGTCATTGGTCTTGCAAAATTCTGTTACTCATTCTCCAGCATCATTTCTGTCACCAAGGGCATATTTTCCAACTAATGGTGATTCCTCTCTGTTTCCAACTTTTGTGTTCCAATCACCAGTAATAATCAACATATCTTGATTGCATATTTGGTCAATTTCAGATTGCAGAAGTTGGTAAAAATCTTCAATTTCATCATCTCTGGCTTTGGTGGTTGGTGCATAAATTTGAGTAATAGTACTATTAATTGGGTCTTCCTTGTAGGTGTATAGATATTATCCTATCATTAACAGCATTGTACTCCAGGTTAGATTTTGAAACATTTTTTGTGACGATGAATGCCATACCATCCTCTTCAATTTGTCATTCCCAGCATAGCAGATCATGTGGCTGTCTGATTCAGAATGGCCAAAAACAGTCTATTTCAGCTCACTAATGCTAGAATGTCAATCTTTATGCATCCCATTTCATTTTTGACAACTTCCAATTTTCCTAGATTCATACTTTGTACATTCCAAGTTCTGATTATTAATGGATGTTTGCAGCTGTTCTCATTTTGCGACATGCAACATCAACAAATGGAGATCCTGAAAGCTTTACTCTATCCACATCATTATGGTTGGCTCTACTTTGAGGAGGCACCTCTTCCCCAGTCATATTTTGACTGCCTTCTCACCTGAGGGGCTCATCTTCCAGCACTATATCAGACAAAGTTTCAAGGCTATTCATATAGTTTTCCAGTGATATATCAGACATTGTTTCACTGCTATTCATAAGGTTTTCCCTGGCCAATTCTTTGAGAAGTGGATGGCCCCTTCCTTTTTCCAAGTCTGTCTTAGTCTGGAAGCTCAGCTGGAACCTGTCTACCATAGGTGATCCTGCTGGTATTTGACATACCAATAGCATAGCCTCCAGCCTCACAACAATATGCAAGCCACCACAGTATGACAAACTAACAGACAAATGGTGGAAAAACTAAGCAGGGAAAAGCTAACCAGGGTAAGAGAACTGTTATATTACGGGGATTGCAGTTAATCTCATGAAACAAAATGTATATGAATTGTGGTCTGGAAAATGAAGTTGGTCTGTAAACATTTACCCAAATCACATTAAAAAAAGGGGTTAGAATTGAAGATAAATTCATAGAGTCATTTCCAGATATGTGATAGTGTTAATGACATGGGAATATATGATTGGGCCTATAGACTTTAAAAAAAAAAAGTCCATATTCCTTGGATAGTGATGGCAAGGGAAGGTACACTATACATGTACAGTAGAATGCTGGAGTGTTTGAATTCAATTCAGCTGTTCCTTGTGAGTCATCAGGTTATTTGCTCAGATCTACTCCTTGCATTTACTGTAGTGCTTTCCAGTTTTTAGAGCCTGTTCATGATACAAAGAAAGAACTTCCTATTTCCCTCTTGTGTATTGTATACTGATAAACAATGAGTCTCAGGATGCCTTAATAATTACATTATAAACTTTGCATGATTTATACATTACAAAGTTAGAAGACAGAAACTCTAAAGACATAACTGTAAATTTCAAAAATTTCAAGACCAAACTCTTTTATAACCCTTCATTTTGTATGTGGTTTTCAATGGATATAAAAATACTCAGTGGGTGTGTGGGTGGTTTCTTGTGTTTTGGAAACAGTGAGGATATGAGATGCTGAGCACTGGGTTCTGGGATGAGAGCTATAATTACTAACTCTGATTCTTTCCCAGGATTGGCTCTTATGAGGATATCTGGTATCTAAAAACCCAACAATCCAGAATCTAGAGCAATAAACCGTTCTTCCACTTCCCCTGAAAAGTAAAATATGTATTGTGGCAGAGAAGGAAGGGAATGTCAGATGAGAGCTCTTTCTTGCCTTACCTCCTTTCACTCTGTTCACTGACCATTGTAGCCAGTGATGTATCAAAAGAAAAGGCGGGTGGGATGGTGCCTCCTTGCCTAATATACAACAGCCACTGCACAGCTGTGATGGAAAGAGTTCTAAATATAGCCCAGGACTCATTTCAACTGCTTCTCCCCCCATGTCCTGGTGGATGTGGTAAACACCCTAAAAATACCTGCTGTCTGATTCCTTGAGGTGTCTGAAGAGGAAGGGGCAGGTGTTAGCATTGAGGCTCTAGGAAATGGAGTGTTGTTGGGAGACTTGGCCAGCTACCACAACTGTGCCCACTGGAACCTGCTCTGGAAGCCAGTTAGTAAGCTGTTAACCATGCCATCCTGTTCAAGGAGAAGTGTCTACTTTGGTGTCTCATATTCACTGCTGGCAGGTCTCAAGGAAACTATTCTTAGATGAGGCATCTGTTCTCTGCCCTTTGACTGCAAACCTGCAGCTGCCACCAAGGTATTCAGGCAGTGTGGTGATTTTCAGTTTCATTTCACAGAATCAGAATTTTAGAGCTGGCAAGGACTTAAATTGTTCATAAAACATTCCATTGAATTCACTACATTTATGGAGTCACATTTCTCTGCAGATGGAGTGACCGTGGAGATTTGGAGATGGGGGTCTAAGTCCTTGACTACTAAAATAAATTATCTCATAAAAACATTGAATAAGTGGTCGTGTGCAAAGCATTTCCTTTTTTATTAAAAAAAGAAATTTTGAGGCTCATGTTGTCATCCAAACTGAATATCACAAATATAAAGTTCATTGGCAACATAACCAGAACATCAGAAGCCTTGTCTTCAGTATCTAGTTTTTCAAAATGCAAGCCCTTCCATGATATTGTAAATTGAAGGATCATAGCTGACCCAGGAAAGAAAGCTTCACAGATTGTCACTATCACCCATGTGATGCATTCAAAATTGAGTAGGTATTTAGCACCAGCTTATACAACAGCATAAGCCACCTGTTTCAATGTATGGTAGCTACCTTACTCCAGTCTCCACCACTAAAATCTGAGAAGGCCCAGTGAATGCAGAACCTGTGCTAGGAGCTGTTCTGGGGAGAGCCTGTACAGCTAATGGAGGAGACTGAGACCAATTTATGTGCTGAGTAGTTTTAAACTTGTTGTATTATGATGATTACAGCATTTCCATAATTGTAATCAGTATGTATCCTTCACTGTGAGCTTCTCAAAGCTGCTTTATGTATCTGGAAGAGTGACATTTATTTGTTTATTTTCTATGTGTTGAAAGTTTTGCTTAAGTAATTGAAGCTATCAAAATGGGTGGTTTTTCATGTCACTTAAGTGCCCCATCTGTATGCATCTCTTTATGGGTAGCTAGCCAGTTTTCCGAAACTAAAACCAAACTCACTGACATCGAGTCAATTCCGACTCACAGCGACCCCCTTTGGGTTTCCGAGGCGGTAAATCTTTATGAAAGTAATTGCCTGTTCTTCCTTCTGCGGAGTGGCTGGTGGGTTTAAAATCTGCCTAGACTATTAACCTTTTGTAACAAAGACTGAGTTACCCTGGGGTAGTCTGCTTTGGTAAACATTGTGTGATTTTGTGAAAGAGCATTATGTTGAAGTTATTGGTGACCTCTCCAGTGTAGAACTCAAGAAGGGTGTGGGTACAGGGGGAATTTCTTTTTTTTTCCCTCATAGATTAAAAAAAAAAAAAAAAGCAGGAAAGGAGAGGGTAATAATGTGTGTAATGTGTAATACCTATGCAGCATAATTCCTGGATTCTCAAGCATTCGCCTCTGAAATTCCAGAATGAAGAACTTCGAAACTTGTCCCTTTCTGGCCATGTTGGATTTGACAGCCTTCCTGACCAGTTGGTCAACAAGTCAACTTCTCAAGGATTCTGTTTTAACATCCTGTGTGTGGGTAAGTGATCCATCACCTGCTGCTGAGCAAAGAGGCTTGCCTGGTGATTGTTAAAAACTCAGTTTCAGGGAAATGATGGGAATAATAGTTTTACTCTCTTTTCTAGTCAATAAAGCAGAGCAACAATCCATGGTCTACATATGTTACACAGTTAGAAAGACTGAGAGTTCTATTTGGGTAAATACTGTGTGTAAGCTTTATGGTATAGCTCAAACTGTTATTTTAATTTTTGTTACATAGTCTAGCAACTGTTCAGTTTGATATTGTTATTAAAGCATTTTGTGTATGGGGTGCGGTAGGGAAGAGGGAGTCTCTGTGGCCTTTGACCCTAACTGAACTATAGGAAGTTGAAAGAAAGAACTGAGATGCACATAGTAAAATAGTTCAAAATCCTTTTAAGAATTTGCTTCTAGGGTTTCTGACTGTAGTATAATGATGTTGTTGTGTGCCGTCGAGTAGTCTCCGACTCATTGCCACCCCTCCTTGGGTTTCTGAGGCGGTATCTCTATATAAGTAGATTACCCAACCTTCTTTCCAGGGAGTGGCTGGTGGGTTTGAACTGCCAACTTTCTGGTTAGCAGTAAAGTGCCTTAGGCACTATGGCACCAGAGCTCCCATAGTATAGTAGCAAGCCCCATTAAAATCTTTTTAAAGTTATGATACCTATAAGAAGTAAAATATAGAATGACTTCAACTACTTTAATAAACCTATAATGTTTAAAACTTACTTTTAGGACAAAAGACAATTTAAAATTCTGTTTTATATTTACAATAAATTCTCTGCCTGAATTACTGAATTAACCTTCTGTCCTTAAATTGGGATCTAAAATTGACCTTACTTTATTCCTGTTAGACAAGTGGGAAAAACCACAGAGGTCTAATTTACTTACATCTTTAGTATGTTTTATTCATATTCTTTAAACATTATACTTAGATCTCTGGCCTTGGTATTTTTCTTTTTCACTAGCCATATCCTTTTTAAACTAGGAGGAGGAAGGAAAATAAAAATATAATTCTTCCATTTTTTTGAAGCAGAAATGTCTCTAGAACTGAAAATAGCCTTTTTTTTCACCATCCCCTTTCTCTCTTGACAAACAACTAAACAGCAGTGAAGTAGTTTGCTTGTGTTTTGTTGCCCTCATGCCCTGAGTATATACTTCTGAGATACCACTTTGAGACAAACCAAATGGGATTCTGTCTACAGCCAAATGGACCATCATTCCTCTAAGCTTAGTGGAATGTACCAGACTTCTCATGTCCAAGTCAAATGAACTCAATTTAGAAAAGGCGTGTGTTCAATGTAAGAACCACCATTTACTTATTTATTAATTGTGAGGGAGAGGGATGTCTGGGAGCAGTAGATGTTTTCCTTTTAAAAAAAAAACTTCTTGAAGAATATATTTAAAGTAGCCTTTGCACTGGGCATTTACTTGGCTTGCACACTAGACCAGCTTGCTCTCTGGTATTATGTCTTAAGCACTTGGTAAGAAAATACCTGGAGAGAAACAAGAACAAGGCAGCCAGCTCTCAGGCTTTCTGTTTTTCCCTATGTGAGGCTTTTTGAAATTCAGCAGAGGATCTCCTGAGTGGCAGCTCGCCTTACTGAGTGGCATAAAGGAGGGTCCCCATTCACGGACACCCCCCCCCCACACACATTTTAGTTAACGTTCAATGCAGAGCAGCACAGTTCTTCATTAGCATAGCAATTTGTTGGCAGTTTGTTAGTTTTCTATTGAAAAGTTTGCTAAATTGTAATCCTAGGCCAATTACTACTCTGGCTTCCCTTCTCTGCCTACCCCAGCCCTGTCTCCAAAATCAGCTTGGAGAATGCATCTGGTTGTTATGTCCTGGCCTGTATAGTGGGGAAATTTCTTTCAGTGGGTTTGGACTTACTAGAAAGACCTAGTTTGACAGAATGTGTGGTGTGGCCGTGGGATGTGTTGGCTCAGTGACAGACCCCTTCTTTTAAATAGCATCATTGTGACACTAGTTGGAATTCTTCACAAGGCACACTGATGCTGCCCTGTGTTTTGTAAAGCAGTTGCTACTCAGACTCTCTTGCACAGATGATAATACTTGTGATTCTGAGATTTTAATTCTGGTTTCATTCTTTAAAATTAGTTTCTTTGTGTATGTGTGTGTATAATATATATATTTTAATGGTACACACATGTATGTAATATATAGCATCATTACTTTAATCTCATGTGATAAATATGGAAGGGAATGATAAGAGGGAGTTATGATTCCCGCAAGGAACCTTATGATGACTTTATCAAAAAGGTCTTAAGAGTCATAATTTGGTTTTAGGGCAAGGCCTGTAGATTAGAAGCAAAGGAAAGAAATGTAAGGGAGAAACTGATTTTGGCATGAGTTTAATTTAGTTCCAGGGGCACTGAATTAAATGTCTCCTGTTAGAACCCTTCTCTGTTGAGTCCTGAGAAGAAAAAAAAAAAAAAGGAGGAGAGTAGATTTCACTTAACCAGGAAGAGAATCCTGATGCGAAATCAGGTAACAAAACACCCAGCAGTTTATAATTCCCCTACTGTCCATCCTACTTATAGCATATGAAGTCACTCCCAAAGCTGTGCTTTAGTTTGAAAAATGCCTTTTTCTGTTACCCATGCTGTATTTCTTCAGAGAATCTAAATTGTTCAGCCTTCCTTCACATTTTAAATTGTATGAAAGATTTATAACTTTCTTATTCATTTTCCAATGACTCTAACTCTGTTGTTTCATCAACATTGATCCAGCTTCCACCATTTGTCGATTCTTTGTAAAGATACTGCAAAAAGGGCAAGGAGGCCACATATTCTGACCTCCTAGAACCCCACAAGAGGAAGGCAGAATCACCATCAATAGCCCAAGGCCTATTTACTGCAAGGCCAGACATGCTGCCTCCCTCCAGCCCTTTCACCAACCGTTCCTCCCAAAGCACCCACCACCTCTCTCCTGGGTTCGATAATTCGCTGCAGTGGCCACACAGAGCTCACAGATTATGGGGTTTATTAGGGAAGCACCACAGGCTACAATTCAAGTTCAGGAAAAATGCTCAGTCTCTCTCCCAGCCCACCGTCCCTCAGCCAACAGTCTCTCACAGTCTCTTTCCCAGCAGTGCTGGTCCCTCGGTGTCTCACTCAATAAAGCATGTCTCTTGCGTCTCTTTCCCAGCAGCACGTGTCTGTTTCAGTAGCGTGTCTCTTTCAGCAGCACATCTTCCTCAACCAGCAGTCAGAGAGAGTTCTGCCTCTAGGAGGCCTCCTTTTGAGCTTGGCAGAGTGGCCAAACCAACCAATCATAACAACAGAATTCTAAGCACCTGAGAGTAAGCCTCCCATAACATTGTGTTGTGCCATGCCCAACATAAATAACCCAGGTGGATAACATTTACAATCAGGAGCTCCTCAATTGCTCATTCCACCACTGAGTTTACAATGACTTATGGGTAGAAAAGCCATACTAAGTAATTTACTACACTGCAGATACAAAGATGAATAAATACCATAACATCCCCACTTTTGTAGAGGGCCCAGTTTGACAGTAGAGTCAAAGTAGATTAATAATTCATTTTGAAAATAGAAATATGTTTTACAATCCAACCATAATTGTATTGAGGAGATGAGAGAAGAGGAATAGAAAACACACAAATTTAAGATAATTTTAGCCAAGGGTATAGAAGCAACACAAATTGTGGAATTTACAATTAACTCTTAAACATTTTATCCCATCTTGTTTATACAGGAAAGTGGTTTACAGGTAAAATGAATGAGTAAATGAAATTAAGATAAAATTAATCTAAGAAATTAAAATGAAACTAGAAGAGAGTCAGAACACAAAGTCTAAAATCAGGCCTACTTTTAGCAATGTGAGACAATACATTTGTCTCTAAGCTTAGAGCTTGGAGAATGGAGGGAATTCATTCATTTATTCATTCAATAGGATCTCTGCTGGTGCAGTGGTTAAAGCATTCAGCTGCTAACCAATTGGTGGATGGTTTGAACTTACCAGCTATTACATGAGAGAAAGACAGTCTGCTTCCCTAAAGAAGTCTTGGAAACCCTATGAAGCAGTTATGCTCTGTCCTATAGGGTCGCTATTAGTCAGAATCAACTTGATGACAGTGAGTTTAGTTTTGGGTTTATTCATTCAATAGATATTTATTGAGAACCTATTATGTGCAAACCATGAATTAAAAGTTTAACGTTTGACAGATTTATGGTAGTGCCTAAGGCATTAGACTGCTAACCAGAAGACTGGTTGTTCAAACCCACCAGCCACTCCTTGGAAGGAATTCTGGGCAATCTACTTCCATAGTGATACTGCCTTGGAAATCCAAGGAGGGGTCGCTATGAGTTGGATCCAACTCCACGGCAGTGAGTTTGGTTTTTGTTTTATGAAGTAAAAACAGCATAGTTGCTCAAGATGAAGCTTAATTTATATCTGGAAACATTTCTCCCATAGACTTTCAGAAATGAAATATAGTGGTCTGGGCTCTCTGGCATCCCCGAAATTGGTTCAGTCAATCAATACAGTATCACGTGTCATGTTTCTTTCAAGTCCCTCATGCAGGCTTGTGGCATTATGCCAAAACATGGTTCACCAAAGGTGATTCTGTGAGAAGTTATAACAGCACATATTAGGTACACAGTTCTCACTGACTGGCTCCATGCAGTAATAAAATCTAGAGTATTTAGAGGAGGAAGGCAGACCTTCATGTTTAACTACTAGGATAACTATCCAGGAAACCAGTCTTGGCTATCATTTCAGCTGAATCATAGATCAAGTATTTGATCAGTCTACAGTTGTTGTTGTTAGGTGCTGTCAAGTTGGTTCCAACTCCCTGTGTACAACAGAACAAAACACTGCTAGGGCTTGTGCCATCCTTAACAGTAGTTGCTATTTTTGAACCCATTGTTGCAGCCACTGTGTCAATCCATTTTATTGAGTCTTCTTCTCTTTGGTTGACCCACTCCTTTACCAAGAATGATGTCCTTTTCCAG